ATCCAACCAGTATGTTCATCGGTAAATAATAGTTCAGGGTCTAGAAATGTGATAGTGTTGTCTGCTACCATTTCATGCGTGAATACTAATGGATGCAGGACCTCCTAAAAAATTGTCGAAATCTCTGCTCCGTCGGTGTTCCGGGCGTGTGTCAAATAATACCAAATAATCGTCTGCAATTCTATGAAGTTCAAGTGCATCAGTGCTCCTTAAACACATAGAAATTCATTTGTCTGGTGTCACTAGAACTATATCGCTAAGTATGGGCGCTCGGCAGGAACCCATATGCACAGCCTGCTTCTGAACATGATGGCTCTACGCCCAACTTACATAAGTCACGTTAATGTAAAAAGTGAGTAGCTCTAAAGAATTGCTAACAGATAGCATAGTAGTCTTCTGAGAACTAATGGCACCAACCTGGTGATTGCTATCTTCAACAAACTTAAAAATAGATCTTGCAGCAAGAAATAGTAGAAATCTTTCATGCCTACCGAGATAGCAGTGAATTTGGATTTATTGGGTCTGATTAGGCACTCAACAACTGATTCTGGATTTCTAACCATGAAGGGATCTTCGATCGCAATCTTGTCCTCATGCAATGACCAAAAGCTTTAACAGACAAGCTCTTCAAGGTGCACTGACACAAAAGTTTTGCTTTGTTTTTTTTTTTTCATATTGTGTTAAGCACTTATCATTGGCTGTGAAGTTTATTTGCTTGAGCACATGAAGGTTATTTCCAAAAGGCTCTATACGCATGTCGAAGCATGGCACGAGGAAAACGAGACACAGTAAAGAACACACAGATCAGGCACTAACCGGAAACTAAAGTTTAATGGAGAGACAACCGGCATCTTATAGTCCTCAAAGTCGGCACTGATACGATGTCACGTGAATATCCGTACAACCTGCTGAAGGAAAAAAAAAAAAAAAATCAGACAGATTGTGACATGGTGAAAGGTAAAAACAGCACAAATGAGAATAGATGAAGTATGAGGAAATGACAAACAGGACAAGCACTGACTAAACAACTGACTGTGTATTGCTTCAATGCAACATAAAGAAAGGTGCGGGGGAGGGGGAGGTTAACAAAGAATAACTGCCTCTCATGTGCCTAGGTGTACTCTTAAAATTGTATTTTTTCGATTAACAGGTTTTACGCTTTGTATAATGACAAATAGCTCGAAAGTTCACGTGACTTGTTACACCTCCCCCCCCCCCCCCCCTGCACCTTTTCCTTCATTTCCTAATTAATCCGCAAAGCAAAAAAAGTTGCAGCATTTACTGTTCAAGGGGTACTGCTGAAATTATGGTCTGTGTTTTTTTGCTCCAATGTGTCACTGGAGAGGGTCTGTTACTTGCAACACGGTACATCATTTGCTGCAGTGCACGACAAATTAATTACCGGCTCCTCATTACCTACTATCTCAGTTCCAGTTTGAAAGACCTCCAAAAACAAAAAGCCATTGGGTGTAACTATCACCATCTACCGAGTGCAACGCTTGACCACGTCAGCGCACAGAACTGTGATGCCCTTCCGCACAGTCTGCATCAAGAAGCCCTTTCAAACGGAAAACGAGACAGCAGGGTAGCCAAACAAAACTTTCGGCCTTGTACTCCTGAGTAGTCTGCTGCAACAAATGTGGCAAACGAAAAAGGTCGGCTGTCATCATAACCTGTTTTATTGACGTGGTGATGTAAGGGAAGTAGGTGGTCACTTTTGAGGGTGTCAATATGGCGCACACGCATACTTATAAACATTCCTGTAAAATACTAACCAAGCTATATATGCTGTTGATATTTTGCAGATGATATACACATGTTCACTAGAATTGATCCCACAGGCTATCTCGGCTGCGAAATTTTGTCGCAGTACGCCGCTAAGTGCAAGATTTTGTCCAGTTCTCAGTGAACGTTGTGTAGCGTGTACTGTTGTCCTGTGGAAAATTGTACTTAGGCCAGATGGCCAGATGCTTCAATTCTAGATTTGAAAACAAGTACAATGTAGAAAAAATATAAGTAACACAACCTTAGGTCATCACTGTTATCATTGTGGGTGTGTTCTATTTTATGTTGAGTGTCGTCTCTAAAACCGGGAACAGATCATGCATGATATTATGCAACCAGTCTTAACTCGTTCATTACCATGACTATTCAAATCTATCACCCTTGATGGATACTTTGGATCATCAATTTTGGCATGTTGAAATTGTTTCTGGTGCACTCAGCACTTTCTTGTAGTTAGCTCAGTCAATTAAATTTTAGAATCAATTAGCTTGTTTTAGCAATATAGTGATTTTTGACAGACAATTGCACAAATCAGTGTGTGTGTGTTGAGAAAATGCTCATGGCTGGCGAACTTGACAGAAGTGCGTGCCCCTCGCGCTTATGCTACAGTAACATCAAAGTTCTGTCATCGAAGGAACCTTTGCTAGTCAAGTGTCAAATTAAGGTGTCAGCTTCACAGTCTGACAGTGTTGAGAATAATTGCCATAAATTTAAGCCAGCTATTCCATTGAGAGCTGTTGCTAGAAGTCGGGGGAAAATTTATTCTACAAAAATGTATTTCCAAAGCTCCGCCGCATGTATAAGGTGTGCAGGTGGCCTTCTCGGCCAGTTTCCAGCAGCTTTCATTTTGCTTGTATCATTATATCAGACACAGGGCTGCATCCAGTGTCACTAGTCGCCATGGCGTCATGCACGCATGGGTGCGCACCTGCGCTGCAAACAGAAAAAAAAAAATGCTCCACTCAAAACCGTCCTGCAGCACGCCTGAAATGAATGAGCACGAGCTTAGAGTCGTAGGATGGCGACACCTCAGCTTCAAATTTTATGGCGACGATGTTTTGCGTTAGTCTGAAACATCCGCAGCCATTCATGGGTTTGTTTTGCTTACAGCCTCAAATTGTCTCCTCTGCTGTAAGTGCGTAGCTATTGACCGTTGTGGACAATCCTATAGGTACTCTGGTTATGGTGCGAGGTCCCCACGTTGCTGGGGCGCGGTGTGCTGGCTTAGGCTGTAGAGCTCCTCGCGACAAGAAGGCGACCGGAGGACATCTCAGCCCTGACTACGGAGCAAGGCGAAAGGTTTTAGGACTTCACGCGATATTGTCGTTTTCTTTAATACGATGTGCAAAAATGCAAAAAATCATGTTTGGATACATACATTGGAACGCCAGTCTACACGAAGTGAAATGGCTCTTTTAACTAGACAAAATAGCAAAGTTCATAGCATGTCTGATTTATAGAGGGATTATTCTTATCATGGGCATTCATCTATAGTGGAACACCTGCAGGTTGTTATCACCAAGAAAAAAAAATTTACTGAGAAAAATGTACGGGTTCACTTGTGTCTCATGAAAAACCAAGCAATACTTCAATGCATGGCACAAGCAACGAAGCAGCACCTTGATTCTGATTTTCTTTGTCTATGTGAATAGAAACATTTCGTACTAAATTTATTTATTTTATACTGTTCCTGAAATCTTGTAGGCCCGTGTGCTCAGATTTGAGTGCACGTTAAAGTACCCCAGGTGGTTGAAATTTCCGGAGCCCTCCACTACGGTGTCTCTCACATTCATATGGTGGTTTTGGGTCATTGAACCCCACATGTCAATCAATCATTTATACTGTTCCTGTGTCATTTATCTTCAAAATATACTGAATTTTCTTTGTTTTGAATATTTTTGTATATATAGTGTTTTTATTGCACTGTTTACTAGCTGAAAACGAAAAATTTCTCACTTTTCACATTTTTATTCATTCCAAAATATTTGTGTTGCCCGAAAACATATATTTTTGAAAAGAGCATTTTATTGTGCAAAATTTGGTATGCTCCAATGCATGCTGGAGAACTTTTCAAACTGGCAAAAACTATCTTCCCCGAGACATATGAAAAAAAGCCATTTTCACACGGTAATGAAAGAGTTAACTGATAAGCTTGGGGATCAATGCGTTAACACCCCTTCGATAGCTCTTCTTTTTAAAGAAAAGAGGTTTCTGCTCAAGCTGTGATTTTGTTTCTTGTGATGGGTCAGTGCTATGCGTTGCGTGTTCCTGCATAATTAAATCATTTGGAAGTCAGCTCTTTTAGTCTGTGTGTTCATCCGTAATTTTTTGCGCTGTTATTTTACGAACATATATGTGATCATGATGTGCACCGTAGTGAAGGGGTCCGGAAATTTTGACCCCTTGGTGTTGTGTAACATGCACCTAAATCTGATGCGCATCAGCTTCTAGCATCTTGGCTCTGTCAAAGTGCAGCCGCTGTGGCTGGGATTTGATCTCATGACCTTTGGGTTAGCATTCGAGCAGCATAACCATTAAACAACCTTGCTTGGTACCATTGCACTCTAGCGTGTTTTCTGTTCCAATAAAACTGACATCTCTGTTTTAATGTGTGCACGTTAAAGAACCTCTGGTGGTCGAAATTTTCAGAGCCCTCTAGTGCGGCACGTCTCATAATCATATGGTGGTTTTGGGATGTTAAACCCCTACATTTATTATTATTAGGTGCTGGTAAGGCAGCATCGGAAGTGCTAATTTGTGAAAAGACTGAGTTCAAACGACTGATCATTATTTATCAAATTTTGGTAGTGCCTCAAGGTTACGAAAAGTGCCATGAGGGTAGCAAACTTGGCATGCAAATTAGTCGTATGGGCTTTCGAAATATCTTCTGAGAAGCCCTGAGTGGGCAAGCATGGTGGACCATGAGCCATTTCATGTGCATTCATGTACTGATGTGTTTTGGCCTTGGTAGCCCTGACCCCGATTTCAGCGTTGTTCCCCTGCACTCAGTTGCCTAAGATATTTATCTTGGGCACTCTCCTGAGGTTTGCCAATATTATGGGATTCATCTGGCATTAGTAATGCAACCATGTTGAGGATGAACTGGTGGTAAATATTTAGGCGCAAGTAACATAAGTGTTTAGAAAGCACTCTGAGTTGCTCGCGTTAGGGTTTCCTGCTTTAATGGCCTGTGGGGTGTTTTCTGAACTGCACAGGTTCCAGTCAGCTCAGCAGCCTACAATTATGCGCTGGCAGGAATCGCATAAACCGCTATGCAGTCGGAGCAGGTGCCCTGTTCTCGGCTTACTTGCTCTGGAAACAGCGTGCAATGTGGCTGCCCATTGCCTCTGCCTCGACAATTCCACCACCATCCTCCCGGTTCAACTTCATCGCTGATGCTGTGGAGAAGACAGCACCTGCAGTTGTCTACATTGAAATCCTGGGCAGGCAAGAGTTTTGCCCAATTTGAGGATACAGAAAATATAGAAGGGGCACGGGAGGGATGATAAGGCAGTGGCATCGATGTCGGTAAATTTTCAGCACCTGTTTCCTTTGGTACTCTCGTGATGTATGTCTCCTCGAGTGACGAAAGAGGAAGCAGGCTCATTATGGGATGGTGATGAGGACCACTGCCATATAAAATTGTTCAGTCTTGTATTCAGCAAAAAGCTGAACATTGCTTGAAGGATTGAAGACAAATTAATGATAAGTGCCACCGGTCCCAGACGTAGTCTATGTATGTGGTTACATCATTGTAGACATTGCACAAAGCAATTAGCCATTTTGGTTGTAAGGCATCGTTGTTTAGTTATTTGAAATTATGGATAAGCCTCAAAGCAAAAAGAATCACTCTAGCTGTTACATGGCCATTGGAAACAGCAATATCCCAGCATTGTAAAAAATATGACATTGGAAAAAATGTTAGCTAACATTGCAGTTTCATAGGCTAGGATTTCCCATATGGCATATATTCGGTCAGTTCTCAATTACGTCCCAAAACTCCAAAAAACATAGTGATACTGATCTTGAAGTATAGAATTATTGTTTCTCGTTTATGTTACAAGACGGGGTGACCGCATTAGATGCCTTATGAAAAAAAGAAATAAACATACATATAATACCAGTCATTTCTGTATAACGTGCACAAAGCATTATTAATCATGGTAGGCGAGAAAGTGATGTAGGCACTTTGTAGCAATGTCACAAACAGTCACAAGGTCATTAAAATATGGGTCCAACAGTTTCACGTGCGCGTCGCAGGTTGCAAGTGAAAAAGTCAACCAGCCGCATGTGGCAATGCGTGTTTGAGACTACTCTCAGCTTTCTATCATATCAAGAAAACACAAAAAAAGTTGCTGAAGCCAAATACTGGCATGGGGACTTCCACATTGCTCCTTGTTAATGTGTTAGTTTCGGTGATATACCTTGGCCTACTATTTCTCAGGCACCTGTGAACTTTTCGTTTTAGCTCCTTGGTCTTTATGTTATGTTGAAAGGGTCACTTTATATGGTGCACGGATGCCCTTACTTGTGCTATAGAAATTTGATACTACAGTCGAACTCCGCTATAACGAAACTGACGGGGCACGGAAAAAAATTCCTTGAAGCAAAAATTTCATTGTTGTGAAGTCGAAAAAATATAGCTGATCTGAGCTAGCAAAACAAGGGAACGTTTATTCTCAAAATTTAAAAAGTGTCCACTGCTTCCTATTCTTTCCCAGCAGCATCACGACGTGATTCTCACACATTCATAGCAAGGCCATGGTGAAAAGCATGCTGAAACAAGGCCTATAACCACTTTCGTGAACAAACCAAACAGCTGCATTAACACATAAACACCAGAAGCTGTCCGCCGTCAAAGTGTATCCGACAATGCCGAGATGGAGGCAGGGTATCGTGCAGCGGTAACTTTTGCCTTTATTCTATGCCATTCTTATCATTCATCACTCGCGGCTAGCTAATTTTGTTGATAATGTGGGCGAACAGCTGCTCTGATTAGTTACACAATGGCCAAGCACAAACGAATTGATACGCATTGGCATCGAAAAAGGCATCGTTTCGCACAGCTGCGTGAAATTATGAACTGAGCGACTGAGCTTCAGCTTCGGATCATCTGCGGCTGAAAAGAAAGCTAGTGGCAAAGGCGGGACAGTCTCATTGCCATCGCTATTGAGCAATGGCCGCGCCCATGCTTGCTGAACAGCGGCGGTTTCTGGTGGTGCCAACACGTGTTTTAGACTTCATCGACGTACATTAAGGTTCTGATAATGCTCCAAAATGTTAAAGATAGGGTTTCCTGTACAGCAATAAATATCTGAGCCTGGAATCGCATCGTGAAGTTTCGTTGAAGCAGGACAGCAAAAGAAAAAGTGTTCGTTGTGGCGACAATATTGTCATGCACCAAGAGCCGTAAAGACAAGACAGGAACAGCGGGGAAGAGAGACACGAGCGTGTATATTTAAACGAAGCGCTAGCACACACTTCTTCGTTCTCTTTGCCCTTTTCGACTCGCTAGGGCTTGCCGGCTCACAACTCTAGGTGGCATTATTCCTCCTCCCATTAGAGCATTGACTCGATGCTCATACACAAGGGGACAGCAGGGCCAATAAGGGAATAAAAAGAAAGGGAGAAACGATAGTTATAGTGCACAGGGCACATGCAGGTGCAAAAAAAATGTCTGTGGTTGGTCATAAGAAAAAAAAAACAATTACACAGTTCAAAGTTCGTTCGAGACCTTACGGACAACATAAAAAAAGAAAATGTTTGCTGCCCGGGCACAATAAGACGAGTATTACCGCGTAAAATAAGGTTTTAGGCGGACGTCATGCACAATCTTTGTTCGTGGTGAGTGGCGCTGGGTCGTTGCCGAGCCTCCGTCTGGAATAACTTCATAGTTGACCTCGTTCAACCGCCGTAATACTTTGTAGGTTCCGAAGTACTTGCTCAGGAGTTTCTCGCCGTCTAACAGGAGTCCAAACCCACACTTGGTCTCCAGGTTGATAGGTGACTGGTCGATGGTGGATATTATACCTTCGGGAGTCTTTACATTGCTGCAATCTTATGTGCACGCGAGCTAGTTGACGTGCTTCCTCTGCATGCTGAATGTAATCCTCGACATCAGGAGTTAGCAGCTTGTGCTGGTCGATGTCACAAGGAATCATGGCGTCTAGCATGGTTTGCACGTCTCGACTGTAAACGAGGCGGAAAGGTGCGAACCTTGTCATTTCCTGAGTTGCGGTGTTGTACGGAAAGGTTACGCACGGCAGGATCTCATCCCACGTTTTATGCTGCACATTCACGTACGTAGAAATCTAGTCCGCCAGCGTTTTGTTTAGCCTTTTTGTGAAGCCGTTACTCGGGGGGTGGTATGCGGTTGTCTTACGGTGATTCGTGTAACTGAGCTTGAAGATGTCGCCCAACAGTTTTGCCGTAAATGCTCGTTCAGTGATGATGAATGACGAGGCGCCGTGACGAAGCACTGTGTGGTCCATGAAAAACTGGGTGACTTCAGATGCTGTAGCGCGTGGCAGTGCCTTCGGTTCAGCGTAACGCATCAAGTAATCAGTTGCGACGATGATCCACTTGTTTTCAGAGTGAGACAAAAGAAACGGTCCAAGGAGGTCCATCCCAACTTGGCCAAACGGCGTACGCGGTGGGTCGATGGGTTGTAGGAGGCCTGCAGGTTTTACAGGTGGTGACTTGCGACGCTGACATTCGCGGTATCGTTTCACCCAGCGTTTGACACAAGCTGCGAGTTTTGGCGAAAAACATAGCTGTTGTACCCGGTCGAGCGTCCGTGAGTATTCCAGATGGTCGGATGTCGGCTCATCGTGGCAGGCTAATAGGATGTCATCACGAAGGTCTTGAGGAACGACTAGAACATAAGATCTGCTGCCGACATTGGTGTTTTTGTTGTATAATATGCCATGTTGTAAGCAAAATGATGGCAATGTACGGGAAAGCGGATGAGGAACAGACGCGGTGCTGCCTTCTAAATGATCGATGATGGGCCCTAAGTCGGGGTCTGCTCGTTGCTTACTGAGGAGGTCCGCCCCACGGAGAGTCTTCAGGAAGGCACTGTCATCTTCTACAGCTGTATGGTCAGATTCCAGAGGTGCTCGTGATAGCGTGTCGGCGTCTTCATGCTTTTTACCCGACTTTTATACGATGGTGACATCGAACTCCTGAAGTCGCAGACTCCATCGTGCTAATCGCCCAGAGGGGTCTCAGAGGCTAGCCAACCAACATAAAGCGTGATGATCAGTCACAACTTTAAATGAGCGCCCATAGGGTTAAGGCCTGAACTTTGTAATTGCCCAGATTACCGCGAGACATTCCTTCTCTGACGTTGAATAGTTGGTTTCGGCGCGTGATAGAGTGCGGCTCGCATAGGCAATCGCACGTTCGGTTCCATCTTGTGTTTGCACCAAGATAGCTCCGAGATCAATGTTGCTTGCGTCAGTGCGCACCTCTGTGTCAGCGTCCTCATCGAAATGACCAAGTACAGAAGGGGAAGACAATCGATGTTGCAGTTCCGCAAAGGCAGTCGCTTGTTCGTCAGTCCACAGAAATGGGGTGTCGTCACGCATAAGTCTGATGAGTGGCTCCGCAATCTTCGAGAAGTTTTCAATAAAGCGGCGATAGTATGTGCAGAGCCCCAAAAATCGTCGAAGACTTTTCTTGTCTGTCGGAGCTGGAAGATCGGGCTGAACACCTGCAGCACTCACAACGTGACCCAGGAACTTCAGTTCTTTGTAGCCGAAATGGCACTTCTCAGGCTTGAGGGTAAGGTTAGCGGATCGTGTACCTTCAAGAACACTCCGAAGGCGACGAAGCTACTCGTCAAACATTCTTGAAAAGACAACGAGATCATCTAGATAGACGAGGCAACTTTTCCACTTTTCCACTTGAGGTCAGCGAGAACGGTATCCATCATTCGTTGGAATGTGGCTCGAGGGGAACAGAGACCGAATGGAAGCACTCGGAATTCATACAGACCGTCAGGAGTTACAAAAGCAGTTTTTTCCTGGTCACGTTCATCGACTTCAATTTGCCAGTAATCACTTTTGAGGTCGATTGAGGAAAAGTACTTTGCTCACCTCAGCCTGTCAAGAAAATCATCCACTCGAGGCAACGGGTACACGTCTTTCTTTGTGACGTTATACAGCTTCCTTTAATCGACACAAAAGCAAAGTGTACCATCCTTCTTCTTTACAAGGACCACTGGTGATGACCAAGGGCTGCTTGATGGCTGTATTACACCGTCTTGAAGCGTTTCCTTCACTTGCTTTTGAATCACGCGTCCTTCAGTTGGTGAAATGCGGTAAGGGTGTTGCCGTATGCGCGTCGCCGTAGGGGTTAATGCGGTGTTTGATAATCAATGTCTGATGGATTCTCAATGAACGTGCAAAACAGGCATGGAATTCTATCAACAGGTCGTTAAGCTT